CAAAGTGGGAATGAAACATGCATACACATGTAACAACTTTCATACTAGTCAACTTTAACGGACAGATAATTAAATTTTCACTAAACTTTTGTAAATTAATTTAACATTATTTATTTATTTTTTAAGGCAAGAAGTTAGATGTTAAATCAGTAAATACAGATGGTTGAAGACACTAATTCACTGGACTATCAATGTAACTGCTCATTTAACACTAATAACACATTAATAAGTGATTATATAATTATTTAACTAATTTTATTTGATAACAACATTTAAATATTACTTTAAAACATAAGTGTCACTTAAAATGAAATAAAATATAAAAAGTAATAGTGACACGGACTGCGACACCTATTATCATTAAATATTGATCACTAAAATTTCAAAAAATATATATTAAAATAAAAAATACTCAATATTTATTACCACTTAAAATTTTTAATACTAAAAATTTAGCTCTTAAAATTTTTATTATATTTAATTTTTAGTTTTATCAAACACCACTATGTTTCTTTGGCAAGAAGTTGTATGTTTGGTTCGAAATTACCAATATGATGTTTTCTTAATCCTATGTGATTAAGAATTGAAATAAATCAAAATCTGTTGTATCCTTTTAATTTGAATGTTAAACAGATTGTCGAATTTTATATGCCTCATTTTGATTGTCAAAATTTCAAATGGGCATGTGTTGACACAAATTTTTGGACAATACGATGAGCTTGTCTTGAGCCTCTCAATCTCATTCTATATATATATATATATATATATATATATATATATATATATATAATGCTAAATTCACTTTAGGGCTTTGAAATCTCATTTTTAATACTATAGAAACACTATCGAATATTTGAGGATTTTTTATTATTATTATTTTTTCAATAATTGGGGCATCCGGGACTTTATGCCGATTAATTCACATGACTAGTGTAAGGCAAGTCCTCACACGAATCGGGTAAGGCTTGGATTGATAAAAAAAAATTCATAATTTTACTACCTCATTGAATCAATCATAATTTATAATTTTTTTTTTCGTTGTCGTCGTCGTCACGTTAAGAACTTTCACAATGCATTTTTAGGAGACTTGAACCTTTACCTTTTCACTTGAAAGAATAAAAGATACCATTAAATCACAACTCGTTATAAATGATTATAAGATGAGATACCACGTGCCTTAGTCTTTTTAGGATGAGATTGGATCCAATTCTTTATTTATCATTCATTATTCATCAATTATTAACATTTAAAATGGAATTGAAGTCAAGGCTAGGGAAGGCATTACCCAGTGCTTAGTTCTTACAACGCTTAGATATCTGAGCGGGTGTATTCATATTCAAATCTCTCTCTCTCCTAATTTACCTAGCTAATTTAAAATATTAAAAAAAAAAGGTCAAAGCCATGGAAGATAAAAAATAATAATAATAATAACAATAATAATGTCGTCTAAATATTTACAAGTATATTTTTGGCATAAAAAAAAAAATGTTCAGATGGAGAATTTTTTATTTTTTTATTACGATAAGAACTCACACTTAACACACACTTTGTCCCTAATGCGTTTGTAACACGTCAACATCTCCCCGACAGTTACACCAAACTATTGAATCTACGATTTTTTTTGTCATTTATCTACAAATGCGTGTAGACCAGACAGCGTGTAGAGCTGTTTGGTAATCTTTCTTTATTCATATTTTTGTAAACCTGGTTTGGTGCCATGGACTCACTGAATCTTCTATGCAATTTATTCTTCAATTCTAAACGAGATATATATATGACTCATTGATTTTTTTTTTTTTTTTCGGGTAAGTAAACTCGTTGAAGTTTCCATGCAATCACTCTTCTAATTCTAATTGCATGCATCTTTAATGTAACTAACATTGTCACATTCTTTCTTACCAAATCAATAATAATAACCTAAAGATTATAAACAAAAAAAAAAAAAAAAACCAAATTTATTATTCAAAATTCGTATCTAAGTGATTAAGAGAATTGCAGCATAATTAGGTGTGAATTATTATATTTGCAATTTATTTAAATTTGGGTAAATTTTATTTAGCTGTCGGTGTCTCATATAGATTTCTTCCATATTTTATAATTTCACTTATCTCTCTTGATATTCAAATTTATGTAATAGATTTACCCTCTATTAGGCACATGATGGAGGCAAACAAAATTTTCTGATGTGAGTAGCAAAAATCAATTTTGCCTTCTAGTACTTAAAATAACAACAAACATCTTATGAGCTGAACGGTAAAATAACACACTAACGCTAACAAGTTGGATGGCGTTAGTGACTGAGGAGATAAGTAGGATTATGAAATGTAGCATGTCCATATAAAATATTGATAAACCTCATAAAAAAAAAAAAAAAGTAAACAAAATTTACCCAAAAATATTTTAATAGATGAAATGATGCAATTGCCCTTTAAAACTAAATTGTAACCATTGTGCTTTTCATTTTTTTTAGAGAATAATTGGTACGTGGAAGGGTGATTTTGTCAAGTTTGAATATCAGTCCTCTATCAAAATTTTCTAAAGGACTTTTTTTAGTTTTCTTTTATCTTATTAGGGTCTATAATTGGTGAAATAGTAATTTTGTGAAGTTTGAATATTTGTTCTCTTTCAAAATTTTCTAAAGCACTTCGATCTTTTTCTTCACATAGGTTTGCAACGTAGTTAGTTGGGCCAATGGAAGCAATTATTTTAATTCTACCTATAAGAATATTGAACTATCTCATTTAGGTGTGAATTATGTTTACAATTTATTTAATTTTGGACTTACTCTCTCGAGGTTTATCAATATTTTATATAGATTTTATTTACGTTTCATAATTTTTTACTTATCTATCCTAAAATTCTGATTTATATAACGTAGTGATAAAAAGTTAGTTGTGCTTTTTTAATGTTTGAAATAACAACAAATATTTTATGGAGAAATTATTAAATGATCTTGATCTATTTGACGTTTAGTGGACTAATTCAATAAAAACTCTCCGATTATAAAACTCAATCTGAGAGCCTTTCTCTATTGTATGAGTAAAACGGTAAAATAACACACTATAATTATCGATCAAGTAGGACGGTTGTTAATGACCGGAGTGATGAGTGAAATTATGAAACATAACTGGATTCATATGAAATATTAACAAAACTCGAAGTAATGAGTGAAATTATGAAACATAGTTGGATTCATATGAAATATTAACAAAACTAAGAGGAAGTAAAAGGAATTTACACTTTAAGTACTCTATGGCTTCTAGAATGAATTATCAGCTCCTCTAGTTTGTAGGCCATTTCATTTAACTCTTTTTGTAGGCTAAAAGCAACCATAATGCCTTACAGCTATTATGAATCTATGTAGGTTCCATGACTCCATGAAAATGTGAAAGAGCCAATTTAATTATGAGAAACTTGTTTTTAAACATTTAATTCTAAAATTTAGATTTTGAAACTAATGAAAACATTAGATTATAAGCATGAGTAACATGTTTAATTTTATTACCATTGGCATGAATTTACAAATAATTAATTCCTTTAACTTTTTTTTTCGATAATCGAGGTGTCTGAAACTTTGTCGATCCACTTCGGATATGACTCAACGGTTTACTCACTAGATTTTTAAGCTTAGTAAGCTCAAGATCTGGGGTTTGAGTTCCGCTGGGTGTTCTTTGTGACTAACCTCTGCTGTCCTTGCAGTGACTTATCCGACCCGAGTGGGAAGGTGTCTTTCCGAGTTCTCAAGAATTAGTCGGATTGTTGAGGGGCCTTGAGGGTTCTTGTCATCTCGGACACTCCGGGTTAACTAAAAAAAAAAAAAAAAAAAACTTTGTCCAACTAATCCACGAGAGTCGTACAAAGTGACCCCTCCACATGAATCAAGTAAAACTCAAATTATATTTACGATAATGACACCTTAAGAAATTAATCACCCTGGAAAAGATTTAAACATGAAACTTAATACTTTATGATGGACTAACTCTTAGAGCTTCACCGCCAGAGCCGACCTTTAGAGTTAATTCCTTCAACCTTGTTACTTGAAATCCATGCATATATAAAGAACCCATAAATCAATACATACATAGTTTTAAGTTATTGTTAAAACTTAAAACTAGAGTACTCATCCGAAATTTATGCTATATCTTTAAATAATTAAATATAAACTAATTTATTTTAAATCCTTCACCTCAAATATTAATAAAGCTTAGTTAATTTTGATATTTTCATGGTTACATCTATACCTGTTAATGGATCAAATTTTAATCTGAATTCAATTTCATTATCTAAATATGAATTCAATAAAAAAAATGATAATTCGATAATGATCCAAATCCATTAATGTCTTATATTAACAAATTTCATATGAATTATAAATAATCCGATCAGACAATTATTCAATTTGATTAAAATTATACATATATATTTATTATATTTATTTGTTTGCATAGTTATATTATGCACATCTTGGATATTAACTATTCTTGTGTGGACAAGACTTTAACCTGATTCCGAATCTAAATCGATCTGACTCTAAATTAATTACAATATGAATTAAAATATTCAATTCGATAATCTGACAAACTCAATAATCCATTAACTAAATAAATAGGGCATCAACTTTATCAGTATCCCGTCAACTATTTTGTTTCCTTTGCAAAATTTGGCAGTCTCTCCATGTGGGAAGGTACACTTATTTTTTCAAGAAGACAAATTGCATCAGGATACTCATCACACTCATATCTTCGTTTTTGGAAATTGGAAGTCACCTTTCACCCATATTTTCTTGTCGGTATACTTACTAGTTCACCATGTTATCACAAACAACTTTGGACCCCATTTCCTCTTAAACCTATACTCCGTATAATTCATGGGCACTTCAAGCCAATAATTAGAAACATGAATTGATTGGTAAAATAATAAAAATATAAAAAAAAAAAAAAAAAAAATGCACCATTGTTGATTGATATTGAAATTATCTCCATTGCATATGATGCCGAATAGATGCAATGAAACCAGACTGATACTCCGGCATAATATTTTATCCCTTCTCATAGTGAAAAGTTGAAAGACAAGAAGTACTACTAGGTAATTAAATATATATATATATATATATATAAGCACAAAATTAAAACACAAAAACAAACACTGCCTTGATCTCAGTGCTTGTTGATAAATTCTTTGACAGCAGTAATCAGTTTTTCAGTTTCTTTAGCGGTGTGTGGGTCAAAATCCACTGCAATCTTGTTAAGATAGAAGCTGTGGCCAACACCAGAACTAACAAACAGCTCCACCTTCTTGTTGGCCTTCTTCAATGCCTCGTAGTACTCCATCTCAGTGTCTTTGATCAAGTCCATGTCAGCAACGCAGAACAGGACCGGCGGTAGGTTCAGGCCGTCGATGGACGGGGCCATGCCGCCCATCGGACACGTTATCGGGTGGTTCTTGGTGCTTCCCACCGGCAATGCGAAGCTCAAGAACTTGTCCACCATTTCTAGGGTTAGAAATGGCGATTCGGGCTGCTCCAACTCCGACGTACTCCTCTCCGGCCGGACAAATCCTGGGTGGATCGGTATAGCACCGGCAAGTCTCACCGGACTGATATCCGTCTCTCCGGCACGTGCAGCCACCTCATGTACTATGTTACCACCGGAGCTATCTCCGATGAGGAAAACACGGCTTAAGTCCGCGTACTGGTTGAGCCACGGCTCTTGTGACTCCCGCAGCCAGAGGAGAGCAGAGTAGCCGTCGTCGCAAGCTGCCGGGAGGCGGTGCTCAGGGGCGAGTCTGAGGTAGACGGACACAATTATGGCTCGGACTCTGACCGCGAGCGTACTGTAAATATTATAGTACATGTTCCAATCTGCTTGGCTAATGCAAAAGCCACCACCGTGGAAATGAAGCACCACAGGTAACTTGGCCGAGTCTTCGGCCATAGGCTCTGGTAAATATATTCTGACACGGAGTCCTGACTCCGAATTGACCTGGACGTCACGGGTTGCAACACCGTCCACGAATTCTTCGTGCGGCGGAACTGGGTCGGACATGAACTTGACCTCGGGAGGACCCGTCCACTTGCGGTCGACAGAGCGATCGTCGTAGACTCTGAGCCAGCCCGATACCTCATCCACAATCTTCCTTTCACAAACCATATTGTTGGACGAGTTTGTAAAGATGTAGAGAAATGTGTAAATTGGATGCTATTAATGAACTTTTAGTCCCTTTTTATAGGGGAAAAGAGTAGTTGGGAAAGAGTAGGGTAATGAAGTCGAAGCTTCAAAATCATTTCTACCGTGGAAGGTGGAAAGAAATGATTATACCGTCTTCTTTTATTTATTTATTTATTTATTTTCCTTTGAAAGTCCTACACCACAAGTAAGTCATGACTCATGACAAGACGTGAATAGTAGTAGTAAACTTGATGACTGGTTCAATCGGTGAATTGGGTCTGCAGTCTATTAGGAAGGCACCGGAGAACAATAATGGATGGGATATTTCAAGGAAATGCATGCTTCCCATATTTTGACAACTAAAGAAAAGCAGAAGTATGTGAGTTGATAAACATGAGAAAAGAAAAGCGAGAGAGCTAGACTTTGAACACCCTCATTGTTTTGGGAGGAGAAATGATAAATTTTTATAAATAAAGAAAAAATATAGGGCAAGAAATATAAAATACAGTAAATGAAAAGGAACGAAGGGAAAAATGAGTTTTCTATTATTTTTTTGTCTTTTCGGTGTCCTCAACTCAACACAGTTCATGCATATAAATATAGACAAATTTTTACTCCCACTGTTCTTTTCCCTCACTTCTTATTCAAGTCTATTAGGAAGGCACAAGAGAACAATAATGGATGGGAAATTTCAAGGAAATGCATGTTTCCCATATTTAACAAGAAAATAAAAGCAAAAGAAAGTCATTTTCTCAAGAAAGATTTTGAACACGCAAGACTCATTGTTTTGGGAGGAGAAATGATGAACACGAACAATTTTCATGATAAGTCATCATAAATGATGCGGTATGTGAGTTGGTAGTCTAAAAATAAATTTTTAGAAAAGACAATAGGATTAAGAGAGAAAATAAATACTCCAATTGATATATATATATATATATAATTTTTTGATTGATTAATAACTTTTAAGATCATGTTTGGATATAGAAATCAGACTGTGTAAGTGTATATGTATATATACAAGTGAAGACAATGTTGAGTAAATAACAAAATATGGTGTAATGCCATGATTAAGAAAAAAAAAAACTCCCGATATCTATTCATAATTTTTGTTAGTGAGGAGGGATGCTTGTTGCAGAGAATTGGAGTCTTTATGGGATTCAATTATAGTTTATGTTTGATAGTTTCACGGAGAGAAAGCTAAGTTGGGTGATTTAGGAGAAAAAAAGAGAGATAACGGAATGATTTAAGAAAAAATAAAATAAATTCGTTCGATGGTAGAGTCTACAAAAATGAAGTTTGACACCAAAAAACATCACTTTAATTATAAAGCTTTCTACCGGCCACATGCTTTAATGGCGGCATAGTCATTGGGTGCACCTTAATTATAGAAATAATTTAGTCCCCATGTGATACCATGTCCCTATTATATTTTGTCACATAAATAAAATTAAATATATTTTTATGAGTCCTATCACTATGTAATTATGTATCAAAAATTTAAAATACTACCTTATTATGGATATTTCGGAAATATTAAAATATTTTTCTTTAATTATGGTGAGTTGTATAGAATAAATATCAAGCTCGCTTTGGTGGTATTTTATAATTAAGTTGAAATTTTATAACATATAAATGAGTTAGTCATTGGTCTCATTCTTGTGTTGCAATTTCTCTGTTGAACTTTAGCTACTTATTTATTTTTTATTTTTTTTAGTTAAAGGGTAAGCTTCAGCTACTTATCCTTGTTGAACAGTCTGCATATATTTCGTAGTTGTTCTTTGTACATATGATTATAATTTGACAAGATAAATGGTACTTATATTGAAGTAAAAATATTTATGTACTGAAGTTAAAGAGAATTGAAAATAGTTTCTCAACAAAAAGTAGAATTTGTTTCATTAATCTACTAATTATTTTCGAATCTACAACTTTGTTACTATTTTAAATAAGAGTAAAGTACAATGACACCCTGTGAAGTTTGGGGTGAAGATAAACATATACAAGTTGCCCTATTTTTGGACAATGACACCCCCTTGTAAGATTTGCAATCCAAACAGGGCCTTAAAACATGTGAAAAATCAACTTTACCCTTCACTATTTTATTAATTTTAATAGATAACCAAATTACCCTTCTCTCTCTCTCTCTATATATATATATATATATATATATATATATATACCACCACACACCAGGCACCACCACCACCACCGCAACCTCCATAACCACCACCTATCGAAAAAGACACTGATGAAGAGCTTTGCCACTGCACCACCCATCTTCCCTTCCACCACAACCACTAATCTTCCCCTCCATCACCACCACCGATCTAACACTATTGATGGAGTACGAAGAAAAGACTCGCGAATCAGAGATGCTCATCGAAGAAGACGCCGAATCAGAGATGCTCACCGAAGAATTGCGAATCAAAGATGCTCACAGAAACTGCTACTTGAGAAGATGTTTGACGACAGTACAATACTTAAGCTCATCGGAGAAGACGCTTGAAGGCATGTTAGATGTACGCGCAGAGATTTTAGCGGCGCATGCTGTGACGTCCCGGATTTTTCGGTGTTTTTTTGATTTTTTATTTCCATTGTTTTTTGGTGCCTCAATTTGCATGTCGTGCAACCGGTTGGCTCACTGTATGGGTTCTGAGAGTCTTTTCGGGCGTTTATTTGAGTTTAGAACTCCTGGGATGCTTTCCGATCTATTTCGGTAGTTTTTGAGTTTTGGACCGAGGGAATCTCGTGTGGGTCCGAGGTGGCCTATGTGCACTGGAATGGCGAGGGCCTAAGTGAAAATCATTTGAGGGCATTGTTATTATATTTTCGGTGAGTTGTTGCTTTAGGTAATTTCATGGAAGTTGTTTGGAGAAAGGGAGTAATTAGCTATAGATTTTGGGGTTAAGTGGCGTAAATAGAGGAAAGTTGTGGGGGAGTATAAATATGAGAAGTTTGCCTAACTCCCTCCATTATTCATCATCTTCCTTCTTCATTTTCTCTCTATATCTATAGAAATATCACCCACCATGTATAAGCTTTAGAAAGCTTCGATTTGGAGGTCGTGGCCTTTGATTTTGAGTGTACCCATGATTTTGAGTGTCCCCTCATTTTTCTCTACACATCTATGATGAGAAATTAGAGATTTGACCACCTTGGGATTTTTGAAATTCTTAGAGGTTGGATTCGAAAGAGGAACTAGTTAGAGAAGTTGTAGAATATCTCTTGATCTATAAGATGAGGTGATTTTGGAGGCCATTGGAGCACTTTGAGATTTTGACCTAGGCTTAGACTTGAGCTTTTGGGGTAACCCCAAGAGGAAATGTTGTTCCTCTCCACTTCCTTTTCATCTTGATGGTATAAGCTTCCGAATTGGTGGAGTTTCAAGGCTTGGAGCAAGCTAGGGTTTTACATCTTTGAGGTAGGGGTCTCTAAACCTCACATCCTTTGGTTTTAATGAGTTATTACTCTTGTAAGGTGCTATGACATGTATAGTTTATGAATGTGAAGCATGATAGTTAGGGTTTGTTATTGTGGGTGATGATATACATGTTTTGTGTGCCTATAATGTGTTAAATTACATGTTTAAGTGGATTATTGTGAGGTTATGTGATGGTTATATTACTACATGATTTATATGTCTAAAATGTCATGGTTATGAAGTTGATTGTGTGTGAATTATTATATCAATTATTGCTAAAGCATGTGAGCATGATTATAATTAATGTATGAACTTTCATGTTGGCATGATGATGAAATCATTGGGACATTCATAGATTGACATTGTGTGAGCAATGAGAAAGTTGATTTTGAAATGAGGGAATTGATTTTTAAAAATAGGTTTTCAATGAAAATTTGTGAAAATTGGATGGCAATGAGTCGCCTTGTGTTAGTGGGGCTAATGGAATCCAGAAAGTGCATAGAGAGACTGCCCTATGTATGGTTGAGTTACCTAGGCCCCAAATGACTCTAAGGAGTCAGCTTAGGTCAGGGATAATTAGCCAATCCTTCTCTCATGGCGGCGAGGAGTCGCTCTGTGCCGTGTTACATTAACAGTTTGACGGTTGTTGTGTTGTGTAAAAGTTTGGAAATGGGGTTAGACTTTTGCATTGCATTTCATTACATTGATTATATTTGACTTTGTGTGATGATAATTATTTTGCTCATCTTTCCCCAAATCAAGCATAACCCTTTCCTATGTTTCACTCTTTGTGTGTAACTCACAAAATTATTAAGGAGTGCGTTTTAGGGCGCCACCTACTGAGCCGTTGTGCTCACTCCTTTATTATAATTTTTAAGGAAACGGCAAAGAAGTTATGGACTACCCATAATCTTATATGTGATGACATTGAGGACCCTCTTTTGTTGACTAGATGTTAAGTTTATTTTAAGGCATGTAAAATTTGATGTAAATTGAATCTTGTAATCAAACTTGTATTATTATTATTACTACGGATTTGTGTCGAATGTCATAATTTATTTATTTGTAGAAACGGTCTCGAGGCCATTTTGTTACGTTTTATGGTCCCAATTGTATTCCAACTTCCATTTAAGGCTTCATAGTCATTTAATGATGTAACTAGCTTTAATAAAAAGGATATTTATTACCATTTAAAAATTTTAATACTAAAAATTTAGCCCTTAAAATTGTTATTATATTTAATTTTTAGTTTTATCAAACACCACTATGTTTCTTTGGCAAGAAGTTGTATGTTTGGTTCGAAATATTACCAATATGATGTTTTCTTAATCCTATGTGATTAAGAATTGAAATAAATCAAAATTTGTTGTATCCTTCTAATTTGAATGTAAAACAGATTGTCGAATTTTATATGGCTCATTTTGATTGTCAAAATTTCAAATGGGCATGTGTTGACACAAATTTTTGGACAATAGCTTGTCTTGAGCCACTCAATCTCATTCTATTTTTTTTTTTTTTTCCTAAATTCATTTTAGGGCTTTGAAATCTCATTTTTAATACTATAGAAACACTATCGAATATTTGAGGATTTTTTTTTATTATTATTTTTCAATAATCAGGGTATCC